AGGAGCAGAACGATCACACAGATCGGAAACCTGGTGTGCCGCCCGTAATTAAAGGAGTGGATATTGATAAATATTCTCAACAGCCCTGGAAGCCAAGTGCTGCTCTATTGCTGATTCCAAAAAAGTTTAAGATGACCGATATTTCGAAGTATAATAGGACAGTCAATCCACGAGATCATGTAACTGCATTTACAACTAGCGTGAAAGGAAACAACTTGACTAAGCAAGAAATTGAGTCGGTGTTGGTCAAAAAAATTGGCGAAAACTCACAAAAGGAGCACTAACATGGTATTCTTTTATACCAGAAAATTATATTGATTCTTTTGCTGAGCTTGCAGATTCATTTATAAAAGCACACTCGGGAGCTCAAAAAGTTGAAAAGAGGATGGAAGACATCTTCAAAATAAAACAAGGAGATACAGAGCTACTCAGGGAATTTGTGGATAGATTCAGCGCGAAAGGATGATGTTACCACATGTACCTGATAATTGGGCGGCCATGGCATTTGCAAGTAACCTAAATGAAAAAAGCTCAGAGGCTACGAGGAAACTCAAAGAAAGCTTACGAGAATTCCCTGCTACAACTTGGAATGATGTTTATTACAGGTATAATACGAAGCTGTGGATAGAGAAAGATACTATCACTCAATCACGGGGAGATGAAAGAACAAGTTCGAGGTTACCAGAAATGGAAAAAAGGTCTGGTAAGAACATGTATGAACCTTGCATGGGACCAACAGGACGGGATTCACGTTCTAAACAAAAAAACCCGAAGTACAGTTCTAGATCAAGGGACAGAGATGAAGGTTCATCATCTAGGTTGGGAAAGGAGCGAGATGCGCGGGATAACAATACGAAGGCAAAGATTGGTGATTATAGTTTTAATGTTAGTACTTCTGAGCTAGTAGCTGTTTTAAGAAGTATGGGAGATAAGGTGCGGTGGCCAAAATAAATGTGATCGAACACTAACAGAAGGAATCCGGATTTCTGGTGCGAGTTTCATAATGACCACAGTCATAAAACAACATATTGCAGATTGCTACAAGGTGAAATAAACCACTTGCTAAAACAAGTTTATTTAACCGATTTGTTTAGTGAAAAGGGTAAGCAAGCGTATATGAAGAATAGGCAAGAGCCTCCAAAACCCCCCTCACCAAAAAGAATGGTTAATGTGATAAGCGGAGGAGAAGAGGTCAATGATGTAATGTATACGGCTGCAAAAAAGACATCAAAAGTCACGGTTACCCATAGAAAGCGAGTTCGCCAAGTTTTGGAAGAAGACAACATAACGTTTGATGATGCAAACGCATATGGCGTGATGATCACTCACAACGACGCACTGGTAATATCTTTACTTGTACATGATACGAATGTGAAACGAGTCATGATTGATCCAGGTAGCTCTATAAATATTATTCTTTTAAGAGTGGTAAACGAAATAAAGTCGATGATAAATTGGTGCCCAAAGCACGTGCATTATTTGGATTTGACAATTCGAACGTTGTTACAAAAGGGGAAATAGTGCTCGCCACATTTGCAGAAAGAGTTGTCAAAGATACAAAATTTCAAGTGATAGCTATCGATAGCAATGACCAATCTGACTTAAGCTTGGAACCTACTATCCAGAAAATTAAACAAGCAGTCTTCTCTTTTAAACCGTATAAAGCTCCAGGACCGGATGGTCTCCACCCTTTCTTCTACCAGAAGTTTTGGAACGAAATGAAAAATTCATTAATCAATTTCTGTAAGGAAACCTTTAGAAATAAAAAGATGGTGGAGGAAATGAACAAAACCTACATTTGCTTAATCCCAAAATGTCAGAATCCAGAGACTATAAAACAATTTAGACCTATAAGCTTCTGTAACACTGCCTACAAGACCATTACAAAAATTATAGTTAATAGAATCAAACCGCTCCTCCCAAAGGTCATACACCCCACCTAAACAAGTTTCCTAAAAGGGAGAAGGGCTTCTGATAACACCATCATTGTCAACGAAGTAATGAACTACTTTAAGAGAACTAAGAGGAAGAAAGGGAAAATGATAATTAAAATTGATCTGGAAAAAGCCTTCGACAAAATAGAATGGTCCTTCGTAAGGCTCTCACTGACCTCTTTAAATTTTTCCAAAGACCTAATATACCTAATAATTTTCTGTATCTCTACCACTTCAACCTCTATCCTGATAAATGGGTCTAGCACAGATTTCTTTAGACCCACAAGGGGGATTAGGAAAGGGGACCCCTATCCCCCTACCTGTTCATAATCTGCATGGAAATGTTGTCCTGGCTTATCCATCATGAAATTGATTGTTGCAATTGGATCCCCATAAAAATGTCTAATAAGGGAGCACGGCTATCACACCTATTCTTTGCAGATGATCTAATCTTAATGGCAGGAGCCAACCAAAAAAGTTGCAACTCAATAATAGACACCCTAAATAAATTCTGCAACTATTCAGGTCAATCCATTAACTTTCAAAAGTCAAGAGTTATCTTCTCCAAAAATACCCCCTCCAGAAACAAGGAATGCATCAGCCAATGCTTATCCATGAGATCCTCAAATGAAGTAGGGAAATACCTGGGATTCCCAATTCTGAACTCAAGTCCATCCAAAAAAGACTTCCAATATATCATTGATCGACTCAACAGTAGGCTACAGGGTTGGAAAATAAACCTCCTAACTATAGCAGGAAGAACTACCCTAATAAAATCCACCGTAGCAGCCATCCCTAACCACGTCATGCAAATTTACATCCTCCCAAAAGCTACCCTTAAAAACATTGACACCATCTAAAGAAATTTCTTATGGGGGAGCACCTCTGAAAAAAGAAAATGCCATCTTGTTAATTGGACCACAGTGGCTAGGGATAAGAAGGAAGGTGGTTTGGGGCTATACAAATCCAAATGGAAAAACAACTCTTTCAATGCAACCCTGGCATGGAGGTTTGCAAGGGAAAAATAATTTCTCTGGGTAAAAGTCCTGCAGAGTAGATATAGCATGAATAATCCCTCCACCAAATGGAACTCCCTAGATAAAAAAGGAGGAACCCACATCTGGAAAAACATTTGTATTGGAGGAGAAATATGTGAAAAAGACATCCATTGGGAAGTAGGTAATGGGGAATCCATAAACCTATGGCATGATACCTGGATTATGGACTCAGGTCCCCTAAGATCCCTCATACAGGGCCCCCTACCTCTCAATGACCAATGTCTCCTTCTAAATTCCATCCTAGAGGAGGGCTTCTTTAACCTCAACAACCTCTCCTTCGAGCTTCCAGAAAACATCCGTAAAATGTTTTTAGCACCTATGTAAAACAAAGCGAGCCAAAAATTGACAAATTTTCATGGGTGGAAGGATCTAATAGGTTTTTCTCGACAAAGGTTGCCTACCAAATTGTTGCGACTCAATCAAAAGTAGAAGAAAACATGATAGACTTCTCTTGGTTATGGAAGCTAGATACTCTAAACAAAATTAAATCTTTTCTATGGACAGTAGCCCACAATAGACTCCCCATATCCAAAATGCTTTTTAATAGGAAAATCACTGTCTCCAGCATTTTCAACATATGTCAGAATGAAGAAGAAGACATGGAACACATGTTCTTCAACTGCCTCCACTCAAAACCTATTTGGGATCAACTGGGAAGCTTCTACAAATACCGAAACCAACCCCACAATGACCTCACTATGCGCAACTGGTTAAAAACTCTTTGCCAAACAAAATCCTCTTTTAACAGATATTTAGCAAAGGCAGATATCCTGCCTTTCACCCTTTGGCATATTTGGATTCAAAGAAATAATCTCATCTTCAACAACAATAAAACTCCTCTCTTGTTAAAAAATATTGTTAAAAGCGCAACGGAGTTTAAATTGTTAACAGATTCTATTAAGAAACCTTGCTTAAGGACTACTATTTACATAAAATAGAAGCCAGTTGATTCAGGAACCTTCAAATTAAACATCAATGGCTCAAGCTTAGGTAACCCAAGAAAGGGAGGCATTAGGGGGGGTTCTTCAGAAACAGTGATACTAATAGGATTCTAGGTTTCAACATATTCATTCCTCATGCAACTAATATCTACATGGAACGCCTCGCCCTTTTATATGGTCTAAATATAGTCATACAATAAAACATCATGCCCCTAGTGGTTGAAACATACTGCAATGTTCTAGTCAACATGCTTATTAACGATAATTGTCTATACCAAAATTTGATTACTGATTGTAGATGGATGCTTACTAGAGCAGGGGAGCCACAGGTCACTCACGTCTTCAGGGAAGCAAATGGTGTGGCTGATCTTTTGGCCAAGCATGGAAGCAACTCGAACTTTTTTTGGAAATTCTATGTTGTACTTCACCCCGCCCCCTTTTGTTGTCTCTACTTTTGAACTGGACGAGCTAGGAACCTTGTGTCCTAGAATAGTCCCAACTTGTAATAAGTTTTAAACAGGCCGGAATAAATGTCTTCATTACCAAAAAAAATGATAGATACAAACATGGCGTATGTGAGCACCTAATTTTTGACCATATTTGGTTTTGCCACTAACTTTTAGTATTTAAATAGATTTTAAGTTTAATTTTAATATTGTAGTTTTATTTCACCTTTTTATAGGTTTAGTTTAGATAATTTGAAAATTACAAAAAAAAAAAAGAGTTACATATTTTTAAAGTATTAGTTTTATTTTTATTTTACAAAGAAAGAAAAATTTCAACAAAAAAAGGGATATAATTTTATTTAGCTTAGTTTAATTTTAAGTGAGAGGTTTTTGAGAAATAAATATTAAGTGTAGTAATTTTACCTTGCTTTTTATTTACTTATTTAGTAGGAGTAGATTTTTTTAGTAATTATCAAGAAAAGAAAAAAGAGCCTAAATTGTCACATGGCAAAAGATTCTCTCTTATCATCTAATTCACATGTACTTTTCTAGCAATACCTACAAATAACACATACCCTAGACAATCACACTCCTAATCCTTATCTCTTCCACCAATTAATCCCTATATCTACACATTCATTACACAATTAGAGGAGAAAAAAAAACAGGGGATAGAAGATAGGGACGGAAAACAGAAAAACGAAAGGCAGAGAACACATTTTTTTTGAAGCTAATTCCTCGAACCCCCATTCTTGCAATAAAAAGCTTCAGCCGCAGACCAAAAGAAAAAGGCTCTGGATCTCTCTGTTCTCTTAGACACACAACATACAGAAAAAGGGGAGGGCACGATTTGCTGGGTGGAACCTTTCCTCTTTTCTTTGTGTCCCCATAGTCAGACAGAAAACTTAGGCACATAGCAGGGGAGGAACGAAACAGTCAAAAAACAGAGAGAAAAAGGATGTCACCTGAAACCTCCCCATAATAGTCCCAAATCAGTTGCAAACTCCAGCCCAAGAGAGTAGCAAATAAGCTGTGAATCTGCTAAAAATTAGTCCAAAACCTCACATCAAAACAGTCCCAAACCCAGCCATTAGAGCCACCCAAAACTAGCTGTGTTGCAACATGAAACCAACTACTAAACCCTCTTTCTTCAACCTTAAAAATGCCGTAGCTACACCTCCATTCATTGCCGTTGTTCTCTTAAGATGAGGAAGTCCAGCGAGGTCAATGTCGAGGTCGTCGTCTTGGGTCGAGGTATGGTCAAACACTCGTAGTTTGCTATTATAGATGATTTACAGTGAAGCAATAAAGGTCTGATCTTTATTTAGTTTTGATCTCTTTTATTGATATATTGCTGGTGCTTAGTTGTTGGTTGAGTTTATTTTGATAAAATTATTGTATGAAGTAGCCTACTGTGTAGTGGTTGGAATTATGCATGTGTTTTTGTGTTCCTGCTGTTTTTTCACGTTCTTTAACCATATTAGTTGGTGGTTTAAGAATATTTGTAGAAATTGATGAATTATTGTCCAGTTAACTGTTAAGTAAGTCTTGAGTTTTTCACTTGGGATTAAAGAGATTTGGGTCATAATTTAATGCAAATGGGCAGTGGCATTAATAAATCATTTTTGAACCTATAACTTCGTGGTGCGTTTTAAGAAGGAACCAGAATTGGGTTCTGGCATTACCTTGTTAATTTGGACTTTAGAATGGTGTTACAATGTTAGGGATAATTGGGGTAGTAAATTTATTGACCAAATGGGCACTCCTTTAACTAATCAAATTATCGTGATTATGTATACATTTGCGTAACATAATTATGATTTTTCTAAACTTAAAACCAAGGTACACGTTCGCGTGACCATGGACAAACATTCTTAGTAAGTAGAACGCCTTAATCAAATACTAGTAGAAATGCTTTAGGCGCGGGTTTTAAAACTACTATCATGATTGCGTACATGTTCTCATGATGTGATTACGGTTCTTTCAAATAAATTCAAGGTACGTGTTCGCGCGACTTTGACCAAATTTTTTCTTAAATAATTAAGTGTTATGAATTGTGTACACGTACACATGACATGATTCTTAAAACATTAAACTAAATGAGTATACATACGCGTAACTTATCTTAAGTTAATTCTTTAAATACGGTTTACCAAATAATTAATAGTGATAAAAGGTAAAATAACTATAGGTCCTAAAATGAGTAATTAGACAAAATAAGCCAAGTATAAATTGCTAAGCGACCATGCTGAAATCACGGGAATGCCTAACACCTTCTCTCGGGTAAACAAAATTCCTTACCTAGTTTTTCTGGTTTCGCAGACTTTAAACGGGGTCAAAATTCCTTGATTTGGGATTTAAATGAATCGGTGACTTGGGACGCCATAAATTATCCCAAGTGACGACTTTGAAAATAAATAAATAATCCCATTTTGATTAATGTCACTTAAATTGAAAAAATTCCCTATTCCTATCCTTTTCGGGTAAAAAGGATGTGTGACAGCTCTGGCAACTCTGCTGGGGATAGAACCCAAAATCTCTGGTTCAGGGTTCAAGAATTCGAGCTTGTTAATGTGATTTTTACTTGGCTTTATTAATTGTTGATATTACTGTATTTTGTGGGCCTAATGTGCTAATTGACGCTACCGCTTTGATATTATTTGAACTGTATTAAACTGTTTTCTTACGCCTCCCTTCTGAGTCTTCTAAAAAATGGTGCACACATTCGTGTGGCCCGCTTTTCTGTTAGAGGTCGTACCAAATAGAACGAGGATGGATCTGCCACTAGGCGAGGTAGACTTTCGTGCTCCCGGTACGTCGCTCCCATTGTCCACTTGGGTAAGTCATGTCTAGAACAAATTCCAAGGTTTAAACCTAGAATAACATAGCCTCATGCTGGATCCCTAGTAGGTACGTTTGTTTGCATCACGTCTATTTGACTTAAGGGACTCGACACAGGGGTTGGGCCCGTCTAGGACAGGTGTACCCGAAATAAAAGACCCTCCTGATGCACCTTCCGTGCTATTTGTACATTTATTTACTTTGGCTTGCACGTTGACCGGCTAAGGAAAAATAATCAACAAAAAAACCAAGAGTGAGGCAGGATAGAAAATTCACCCGGTTCTGAGAACCTCGGTATTTGAAAATACCTCAAAACTCTGCCAAGATTTTTTGAAAGAAAATGTGTTTCAAAATGAAAGTGAGTCCATATCATGTTTTTTCCAATTATGTCAAAACTGGACGAACTACGCGGGTGTAACGACTCGGCCGGTTGTTTCAGGATTTACCACTCCGTTTCCCCCATTTCCGCTTCTTATTGCTATGTTTATCGGTATTATGTGTTATCGAATTTGTTGGCTTGGGTTCGGAAAGGTTTTGGTGAGGTTTGAGACACTTAGTCTCTTTTGAGTGAGCTTAAGTTGGAAAAGTCACCTAGATATGAACTTATGTGAAATAGGGCTCTGATATGAATTTTGATGGTTCAGATAGCTTCGGGAGGTGATTTGGGACTTAGGAGCGTGATTGGAATGGGTTTTGGAAGTCCGTAGTAGATCTAGGCTTGAATTGGCGAAGTTGGAATTTTGGCATTTTCCGGTTAATAGGTGAGATTTTGATATAGGGATCGGAATGGAATTTCAGGAGTTACAATAGGTCCATTGTGTCATTTGGGATGTGTGTGTGAAATTTCAGGTCATTCGGACATGGTTTGATAGGCTTTTTGATCGAAAGAGAAATTTGAAAGTTTTAGAATTCTTAGGCTTGAATCCGATACAAATTTGGTGTTTTGATGTTGTTTTGAGCATTCTGAAGGTTGGAACAAGTTTGAACGATGTTACGGGATATGTTGGCATGTTTGGTTGAGGTCCCGAGGGACTCAGGTGAGTTTCGGGTGTTTAAACAAACCATTTCAAGTTGAAAAAGATCGCAGAAAATCTGCTGTGACTGTTGCAGACTTTTGGCCTTTGCGTTCGCGAAGGGTTAGGGTGTGAGGTTGGAGGATTAGCCTTCGCGTTTGCGAAGGAGGTCCCCCGTTCGCGAAGGGTTGGGGTCATTGAGCTACGCGTTCGCAAGAGGGAAGTTGTGTTCGCGATGGGTTGTGAAACTGAGTCTTCGCGTTCACGAGAGGGGAGACGCGTTCGCGAAGAAGGAATAAGTGGTCAACGTCAGGTTTTGCTTCGTGAAAGCGAGGTGTTGACCGCGTTCACAATGAAGGAATTTTAAGTGCTGGGCAGAATGTTTAAAAGACTCATTTCCGTGATTTTGGGTCTAAGTTCCTCCATTTTGGGGTGATTTTGAAGCTTTTGGAAGGGGATTGAAGAAGGAATCAAGGGGGAACACTTGGGTAAGATTTATGGACTTAATACTCAATCCTAATGTGATTTCTACCTAATTAATCATGGAATTTGTAGAATTTAAGCCTAGATATTAAAGAATTCTGGCTTGTAATTGGAGACCTAGAATTTGGGATTTGAGGGGTCATTTGGGGTTAGATTTTGGTGCTATTGATATGAATGAACTCGGGGAGTGATAAGGAGTCTATTGATGTAATTTTTATCGGATTCTGAGACATGGGCCTGGGGGTCGGGTTTGGCCAATTTCGGGATTTGTGTTGTAATTTGATTTCTTTCGAGTGGACTTTGTTCCCTTAGCATATTTTGATGGTTTTGCACTGATTTTGATTAGATTTGGAGCATCCAGAGGCCGATTCGAGAGGCAAGGGCATCGCGGGTTAGAGTTTGGACCGGATAGAAGTGAGTAATGATTGTAAATATTGTCCTGAGGGTATGAAATCCCGGATTTCACATCTCTGTGCTATATTGAGGTGACGCACATGCTAGATGACGAGTGGGAAATCGTACACTGTTGAGGATTGTGACTTAGTCCATCCCGAATAACTATTTTACTACGTATTTGATTGAAAACTGTTTGCTATCATCATGTTTTGGGGCTGAATGCCATATTTGGGCCTCGTGCCAACTGTTTTGGATCCTTAGGGGACTTTTACTACTATTCCTCACTGTTTTGACTCTATACTTGTACTCAGTCATGCTATATTCTACTGTTTTTATAACTCATCCGTGTTTACTCTGTTTTGACATCTTAAATGATAGTTTGAGCTGGGCATTATATTTTACTATGCCCAAGTGGCTTTTAGAGATTTCTGACTGAGTAGCACCGAGGGTTTGTGTTGTGAGGTTATTATGGGATCGGGCTGCACGCCGCAGCAGTGTTCTACTGACTTATGATTATAAGGCCGAGGGCCTGAGTTGTTATGCCATGAGATGGCTTGATATTGCGCTTGGGCCGTAAAGGGCCCCTCCTAGAGTCTGTACACCCCTAGTGAGCGCGGGTACCCAGTGTGATATGTGATATAGCCCGAGGGTCTGAGGTTGTTCCATGTTATTGCCCGAGGGGCTGATTCTGTTGATATTGTGCCCGATGGGCTGATTTTATGTGTTTATTTTTTCTCACTACTTTTCGTTCACTTGTTTAACTGTTAAAAGAGGTTTTAAAGAGGTTTTACTGAACTGAGGTATTTTTAGAAGTCTTCACTGTTTTATCACATTGTATTGATTTTATACTGCCTCTTTATAGCATTTTGTCGTGTTTTATGTGCTTTCTTATCTCTTAGTTGCTTTTACTTTTATTACTCACTGAGTTTGAGTACTCACATTACTCTCTGCACCCTGTGTGCAGATACAGGAGCCTCGAGTACTGCTAGCGAGCGCTGATTGCTTCCAGTGGGCTATTCGGAGTTCACTAGGTAGCTGCTCAGCATTCGCAACCCAGTGTTTCTCCCTCTTATCTTTATTTTCCCTTGTACTGAATTCTGTAATAGACTGTGTAGCCCATTTTCCATACTCTTAGACTTATGTTAGATTCTCACGACTGGTGACATCCCGATGTCGGGCTGTGTTTATTTTCCGCAAATGTTCTATCTCACTTTTATTTTGGGATTTATAGTATGTTAATGACTTAAATTGTATTACTATAACTGTTAAAAATGAATTGGCTGTTGTGTCAGCTGGCCTTGTTTCACGATAGGCGTCATCACGACCGGATCCGGATTTACGGTCGTGATAGCGGGTTTGATTCTCATCAGATATGAGATACGTAGGCAAACCTCATCCATTCCAGCCCACAATTTTCAAAAAAAAAATTCAAAAATATTTTCCTTTACTTCCTTCTTTAGAAAGTCTTTCTTTTAGACCTTAATTTCTAAAATAATACAAAAAATAGTTTCTTTTAATTTCTTCTCAAAATCCAAAATATTTTTATTATTCTTTAGAAAATTCAAGATTCAAAAAATATTTTATTTTTCTTTAGAAGTATTTCTTTCATAAATTCAAAATAAAAGTCCAAAAATATTTTATTCTACTTTAGAAGTTTTAATTTCGAAATCCCAACAAAAAAACAAAAATTAGAAATTAAAAAAAATGAAAAATATTCTCTTTCTTCTTTAGAAGTCTTTCTTTTCAAAAATTCTCAAAAAAAAAAATCTAAATCCAAAAAATATTTCTTTTTCTTCTTTATAAGTCTTTCTTTCGAAAATAAAAAAGACAAAAAAATGCAAAATCCAAAAAAAAAAGAGTTAGTTTATTTACTTTATTACTGATCTTCCTAAACTACGCAAGATCTAATTCATGTTCTCACATGATACGTAGGCAACCCACATCAGGTTCGATCGAATCATTTAAAAAAAAAGAGAGAGAAAAAAAAAGGAAGAAAAGTGCTTAAAAAAAATAAGAGAGTGATCATTCTAACATGTTGTAAAGTTTGAGGTGGTCGGTTTGTGGTAAGCTGCAACACATCCATAACTCACGAGGTCCAAGAGAAAAATGTCAATGACAATTGACATTAAAGCTGTTACGAGCAGTCACTAGACTCAGGGTCAGAGGGTTCAACAAGAGTCTACTGTGGTTAAGGAAAATAGTGTTTTGAAACAGAAATTGGCTGAAATGCGTCAAGCATGGGCTAATGGCCAAGGACTGCCCTTTTCTTCTCATGGTTTCCCAGAGTTCACACTCATCTTGACTACTGCCATTCCGGTCTCATTGTGTGATCAATCTTATCTACCTAGGTTTAGTCCTTATCCCAAATGTACAACTACGGATGGAACTTCTGTTGCATGCTCTCAAAGTGTGCCATTAATAACTAATCAGACAACCACTTCTATTATGCCCGCCTTCACCATCCCACAACCGATCGTGGTGCAGAGGAAAACTCATGAGTCATAATTTACTACCCAGCAAGAACAGTACCACTCTCTTGAGTACCACTCGTACCTATTTGATCTTCCTGGAAAGATTGAGAAGCCTGCCCAAAAGATGGCACATGAAGAAATGACCCAAAGAGTGAAAAGCTTAGAACAACAATTGAAAAACATACAAGGGTTGGCAGGTCATAAGAGTATTGCCTTCAAGGATCTATGTATGTTCCCCGATGTTCGTTTGCCATTTTGTTTTAAGACTTCCAAATTTGAAAAGTATGATAGACATGGATATCCCGTAGCCCACCTTGAAAAGTATTGCAATCGACTAAGAGGTGCGGGAGGAAAGGAAGAATTGTTGATGGCTTATTTTAGGGAAAGCCTTACGGGTGTAGCCTTCGAATGGTTTATGGGTCAAGACACATCTCGTTGGTATGTATGGGATGTCATGGACTAGGCCTTTGTTAGACAATTCCAATACAATATTGACATCGCCCCAGACTGCAATTCCATTTCAAACCTGAAGAAGAAACCAATTGAAAGTTTCAAGGAATATGCCATTAAATGGAGAGAGCAAGTGGCTAGAGTTAAGCCATCCATGGATAACCACGAGCTAATCATTGTCTTCCTTCAGGCTCAAGAGCCGAATTATTTTCAAAACATGATGTCTGCAATGGGCAAATCCTTTTCAGAAGCAATTAAAATTGGGAAAATGGTTGAGAATGGCCTTAAGATAGGCAAAATTATAAGTCAAGCAGTTCTCAAAGCCGCAACTCAGGCTGTCCAAATTGAATCTGATAATTTTAGCGAAAAGAATGAGAAGGATAAAGAAACCATGATGACATCAGGGTCGAGAAGAGGTCCTAGGAGAGCATCTCGAAGGTATGACCAGCCTCGTCTAGTTGCTGATGATTCCCCTGAGCACTATTATCCACTTCAGAAACCACAATACTTTGTTGCTCCACCTCAGTATGTTGTTCAGCCACTAAGACATCCAAAAAGGCAAGCACCAACACCGCAAAATCTCCACCAACCTCCACAAAATTTTCAAGTGCCCTATAACCCACATCCAAGCCATGGGTATAGAGGTGAACAAAGGTTGAAAGATAATTTTACACCAATAGGAGAGTCCTATGCAAGCTTGTTTGAGAAATTAAAGAATTATGACATGATTGCACCTATTCCTCCAAATCATGTGGACCCACGTGCAAGAAGCTTTGGCCCTTTTAAAAGGTCTGAATACCATTCCAATGCCCAGAGGCATGATGTTGAAAGCTGTCCGGATTTGAAAAGAGAAATAGAAAGGATGATCCAGGAAAAACTGATTGAAATTGGAGAAGACCCTGGTGATTCTGATGAGCATATTGGTGGCTAAATATCAAGCTTAGCAATTGAAAAGTCATTTTCTCCTTACTAAGAAGGAATCTTGGTAGCTTGTTTTGATGTTTTTTTCTATTATCTGGGTTATTTCAAAGTTGTGATCCAGATTTTATTTGTTTTTATTGAGTCAAACCCTTCTATCCCTCTATTCTATTTATGTGAGTCTTGTCTGTCTATTTTGTTGTTATTTTGATTAGCCGGGTTATTTTAGGGTTCTAACTTAGATTTTAGGTTGTTTTTCTTATTGTTTACTTAATGAAATACAATTTATGCTTTTGTGTCTTTCCCTACTTAGTTCTTTTCCCGCTAGTTTTAGTGACATGACATGCATGCGGAGTTTTTGGCCAGATCTTAGAAAATTGATTTAATCTTGAATTGGATAACTGAGAACAAGACACTTTTGCGGATGAAAAAGAGTTTAAATACCTTGAAATTAAGCCCGAGTAAAATTCAAGTGGAACTAGAATAGTCATATCCGTGGAGGTTAAGGATCTTTACCTTCAAAATCATTGTGAAGATCAGGTTAAGGAAGAATCAATTGAAGTGTGTTGGAAAGTTTGACATTAGGGGAGGGAAAGTGTCTTGTGACTACGACACACCAAGAAGACAGACATGTTCGTCAATGCTGTGATCGCAAAAAGATACTATGTTTGGCGTTCTCGAGGCTGGGAGGCCATTTTTCTGCTGTCCAAATACTTTATACCCTTTGTTACCCCTTTTGAGCTTGTACTATTTTCTTTGACCACCTTCTTTTGTATCAAGTTTAGAGTTAAAAGTTCAATAAAAATTGAAAATAAAAAAATGATGAAAAAAGTTCATGGCCCAAGAGTATAAACTGGGGCAACTCTTAGAAAGTTCAAGTAAAAAAATAGTCAAAGATCCATGCCCCCAGAAAATAAAAGCTGGGGCAATTTGTTTTTAAAAAAAAAAGAAAAAGGAAAAAGAGATACAGAAAGAAAGATGAAAAATATAGTTAGGTCAGATGTTTGAACTAAGTTAGACCTGATTCCTTAAAAAAGGATACATAGGCATCCTTACACGGTTCGGTCCAACCAAATAAAAGTCGCAACAAAAATAAAAAAATTCCAAAAATCCCCAGTATCTGAAACTGGGGCAAAAGTTTTATTTTACTTTTGAAAGAGTCAGATTCCAAAAGTTGTAAGTCTACAACCCCTCATTTTGAGTCAACTTTGAGCCGTCATGCCGTCTCTTCTTTCCAACCCTATCCAAAAACCTTCCAAATAAAGACCTCCCGATACGCTTTCAAGAATGCTAAGAGAAGCATGTAATGAGCAACGGTTGTCCCGTAACATAGAATATTGTCAAGTTTCTCACACAAGAAAGCAAAAGAAAAAAAATGAGAGAGTCTTACTAGTGAAAACCCTCACAGGGACTGTAAGACGATGGTAAGAAGATATAAATAAATGAGAGAGACTTATTGGTAAAAACCCTTCGAGGCACCTCTAGTCACATGTGAGTCGTGAAGCTGATGCAAAGAATTGGCACAAACAAGTCCAACTTCAAAGATCATAAGAATGGTAAAAGGAAAGATTGAATTAGTTTGATAGATTGGTCATTAAGTCCAAAATGTATGTTATGATCATTAAGGCTAGTTACCACAAAATTAATAAAAAAAACTCTTCCTTCTATCCTTCTCTACAGGGGTGTTTCTTGTTAATACTTGTTTCTTTGCATCATTGTGTCCTTCACTCTGAGTCAGTCCTTGTCAGCTTATCAGCTTTTCAGTTGCACAAAGTAAATTTGGCCAGCACTCTCAGTTTTTTTACAGTCAACATGTATTGAGGATTTATGCAAAGGCTTCCCCCAAAAAGACTCTTGTCAGCCTACTCAGTTAAAGCAAGCAAAGATAACCTCAAGGTTAATCATGGATTCTCTGTAGTACTGAGCAATAACTATGAATTGTGCACACCATGCAAAAGGCTCTTACTAGTTGTGATTCTCTCTGACAGACAAATTACTCTAAAAGCAAAGCCATTCAAGATATCAGAAAAGGTTATCAAGAAAAGAAATCTTTTTTTTGAGATAAGGCTGACTGAGCCACAAATACAAATGGTACTGGGGGTGAAACAATCAGATTGATACAGAGCAAAGTCTCTTGACACCGACTCAAGCTGATTAAGTCAAGCTGCCCAAGACTCAAGACCACAAACCGACTACCACTTTTAAAACTGACAAAATTTTCTTTGTTTGAAACAGGAACAAAGCACTACAAGGAAGTTGGTTCAAAAACTAAAAAAAAAGAGGAGAAGAGCCGACATAGGAAAGTTTCTCAAATCATTACCTTTATTTATCTTGCTAGTGTGCATAAAATATTGTCATTGCTCTTCACATATTTTCTCCTAGGATAAATAGTCCTAGTCTGATGAATTTTCTCCCAATAAAAATCTTAGTCTGATGA